AGTTTCTTAAAAATATTGATTAAATGATCAATCCTGCTCTGGAATCTGGTTCTCTTTTAGGGCACCTGTGGTTCTGAGACTCTAGGTGTATCTAACTTATAACGATACTCCTTCAAGTTCTGGAGTCTATCCTTCCCAAGGCCCTTCATTGTCCTCTAGTAGAATACGATTGGTATCTCTGGGGCTTCTTTCACAAGGTCTCTCGCGTAGTCGTACAATGCAGTCAGTGCTTCATCCTGCAAATCTATCAGCCGTTCCTTCACATAATCCAAGGCCATGTCTTAGTTCACCTTGACTCCTCCAGCTCCGAGATTTCTATATGCCTCTATACCTAAACCATCCTTGATTTTCTTCAGTTACCCATCTGCAGCTCCCAATAGGGCTTCTTTGTAGGCAATGCTGGCTATCTATTACTTTGATTCATCTGGGAAACCCTTTAGAAATGCACCCTCCTCTGGTAGCCATATCTTTGCTCTAAGCTCCTTTATCAATTCAACTCGCCGTTTCTCTCTTTATAGAGCCTGCTCTATCTAGGTAATTCTTACTTAATCTGCTGAATCGCCAAGTAACAAATCTGATTCTAGAGTAAAATATTTCACCCTATTGGCGTCCCTTGCTTTCTTAGTTGAATGGATAAGTGTATGTATCTTCTCCTCCTCTGATGCTTTTGAACTACCTATCCCAAGCAGCTGATTTGCTCTAGGTGGTCGATTGATCTTTTGCTCAGGTTCTTAACTGGGGTTTCTGAATTACTTAGATCCCTGTCCATCTTGAAGCTATTTGCGGTCACACTTCCTCTGCATGTTCCTCGCACTCTTGAGCAAGCGCCTATATCCTCCTTTCGGAAGTTTCCAATTACCTTAGTGAATGAGGTCCCACTCTCTCCTAAAGGCATCTTGATATTTAGCAGGGGGCTGATCCTCTACGAAATCTATTACATTAAGCATTTTGAGCTCACAGAACAATTCATTCGCCAACTCCTCAAATTGATTACCTTATCAGCAGCGCAGTCAAGTAGCCACCAATCTTTGTCTTGGCGATGCAGCACCGCAGCATGGCACTCTGCTCTCAATAGCATATTGGAGACCGGATCAAACTTGGGTAATGTCAGATACTGTATAATGACTCGATCCTTCTCAATTATGCCAAGAAACCTGTTTAAGGTTAAGCCTCTCTTAAGACTTTCGTCAATATCCTTCATCGTAATTGAATGCAATATTTCTGGGCTGAGCCACTTGTCCTGGGTCCCTAGATATATTATCTTCCTCAGATTCTTGAAGCTAAGGCCTCTCTCCCAGGGAAACTCAGGGCTTCGATTTTTCTTCATATGGCATCGTGATTAATACAGAGCTAGAAAC